ATATAAATGTGGGCAATGCTAGAAAGTCTTATAATATATGTCAAGGTTCATTAACATATATATAAATGTGAGCAATGCTAGAAAATCTTATAACCTGAAACGAAGGAAGTACTTCATTAATTATCTAATAAAAACTTCACGCATACTCCCTCCAGTCAAATTTATTTCATGTTGGGAGAACTGAATTTCGTTCTCTCAATGTCAAATATTATTTTCACTTGGTGTAATAATTAACACTACTACAAAAACTGTTATAGGTGCCGGTTGGGAAATCCCTATGGGTGCCGGTTTCCCAATCGGCACCTATTAGTCAGCAACTATTAGGTGTTCTCAAAGGTACTGGTTCAAAGGTGTTGGTTTAGGAACCAGCACCTTTAAGGCTCCAGGAACCAAAAAAAAGCGGCTTGATGCATCGGCTCGATTTGAGCCAATCCATCGAGCAACATCACTTCTTCCCAAAGAACACATACAAGATTTAAAATTAATGAACACATAAACACATAGCATCAACAACATCATTAACACATAGCATCAATAACATCATCATTCATCCATAAACATGACGGCATCAAAAAGAACATCAGAAAAATTAAATCAAAACATGGGTTCTCTACCCTTGCCGCCGACATCCTTCTCCACCACTGCCGCCGTCGCCGCATGGGGAGGGTGCAGCGGCCGCCGCCGCCGCCGAGGTCCGCCGCCTACACTCCCGCCGGATCTGGCGGAGAGGAGGGTGCGAGCGCCACTGCTTCTACTCCCGTCGGGCCGCTGCCGGGAGAGGGGAGAGAGAGAGAGAGAGAGTTGAAGGATAAGGACAGGAGGGCGTTAATATGGATAAGCCGTCCGTAAAAAAAATGGATAAGGCCGGCGCTCGATCGGCTCGCCGGCTCGGCTCAGTTTTGTATAGGTGCCGATTTTTTAAAAAACCAACAACTATAGTATAGGTGCTCTTTTTTTTAAGAACCGGCACCTATAGTTGCTTAAAGGTGTCAGTTTTATATGTTTTTAGTCCGCGGCAGAGGGAAAAGCACTATAAGTGCAGGTTTAGCTGTTCCGAGACCTATAGTGCAGATCTCTATGTGCTTTTCTTAGTAGTGTATGTGGAAGTATGAGATGGAACGCTACCCTCCATGCTAGGGTAGCGGCTGCGTGTTGATTTCTTAGCACTCAAAACGGTGCACATCAATACATATATATGGAATAGATAGGTTCGGCTGATAAGGGCTAACAACCAACTATTATCTTGCTATCTAGATTACCAGCCAATCCTTATCTAAACCAATTTCTGTTACATGAGATAAGGCTAACTCTAACACTCCCCCTCAATCTAAACTTCCTAAGTTAAGATTGCTTCTGAACATCTCGAGCTGTTTAACAGGAAGAGGTTTGGTGAACCCATCAGCCACTTGATCTTCTGAGGAAATATATTCCACTTCAAGTAACTTATTCAGAACACGCTCTCGAACAAAATGATAATCCACTTCAATATGTTTTGTACGAGTATGAAACATTGGATTTGCTGACAAATGTTTAGCTCCAATATTATCACACCAGATTTTTGCTGACCTTGGCGCCTTAACACCAAGTTCTTGTAACAAGGTCTGAATCCACAATACCTCTACTGTTGCATTTGCCAGTGCTTTGTATTCAGCCTCCGTGCTAGACCTGGACACAGTTGCTTGTTTTCTTGCACTCCATGACACAAGGTTAGAGCCAAGATAAACTGCAAAACCTCCAGTAGACCGCCTGTCATCTAGACATCCAGCCCAATCTGCATTTGTAAAAGCACTAACAAACAGAGATGAAGATCTATTAAATTTTAAGCCTAGACTTGATGTATACTTTAGATACCGTAAGATCCTTTTTACTGCAGCCCAGTGAACTGTTGTAGGAGCATGTAGAAACTGACAAACTTTATTCACAGAATAAACTATATCCGGCATGGTCAAAGTCAGGTACTGTAATGCCCCTACTATACTTCTATAATGCGTAGCATCATGAGGACCCAACAAATCTCCCTCATGAACTGACAACTTTTCTGTGGTTGACAAGGGAGTATTCACTGGTTTACAATCACTCATATTTGTTCTTTTCAGCAAGTCTGATATATATTTACCTTGTGACAACATCAAACCATTGTTTATCTTGTTTACCTCAATCCCAAGGAAATAATGAAGTTCTCCAAGATCCTTCAAAGCAAAGTCTTCCTTGAGATCTTGTAACAATGCTGGCACTGCTCTTTGTGTAGAACTAGCAACAATAATATCATCCACATATATCAAGATAAACATGGTTACATTCCCTTTGCTAAAATAAAATAGAGAGGTGTCAGCCTTTGATGGTTTAAACCCCAATTGCTGCAATTTTCCACTTAATCTTGCATACCAGGCTCTAGGGGCCTGTTTTAGACCGTATAGAGCTTTATCCAACTTACAAACGAACTCTGGTTTAGAAGGATTTTCATACCCTGGTGGTTGTCTCATGTACACCTCCTCCTCAAGAACTCCATGTAGAAAGGCATTTTGGACATCCAGTTGTTGTAAGCTCCAACCCCTGGAAATTAAATAGCAATAGATAACACAGTTCTAATAGTAGCGGCTTTAACAACCGGACTAAAGGTGTCCTCATAGTCTATACCATATCTCTGCTTAAAGCCTTTAGCCACTAGTCTAGCTTTATATCTATCTAAACTCCCATCAGCCTTTCTTTTAATTTTATACACCCATTTGCAATCAATAATATTTTTGCCTTTCTGAGGAGGAACAAGGTGCCATGTTTTGTTATCCATTAGAGCCGAATACTCTAAATTCATTGCATCTTTCCAATGCTTATTGCCTAAAGCTTCCTCTAAATTACTTGGTTCACCAGTAGAAGTAAAGCAAGAGTACCTTACTGTACCATCTGTGTAGATTTTTGGCTTGCTAATACCTCCCTGGAGCCTTGTTCTGGGTCTAATTGCTTCTGTTTCTTCAACACCCGATGGATGTGACAACTGAACCTCATCATGACTGCTGCCTGCTGCTGTCCCTGCACCCGTACCTGTTGACGACGTGGGTTGGCGCAGTTCAGATGGCACCATTATGCTGCCAGGAGACGTGTCGCCGCTGGAGAGGGTGACAGCAGCCTCCTCGTCTTGCACCTGCTGCTGTGCTGAGCGCCGGTCTTGTCTGGGCGGTGATCCCGATGCTGATTCTCCCGCCCATTCTGTGGATTCCGACGCATCCTCCTGCTGTGCTATGTCCACACAATCATCTGCACCACAATTTCCATTTTCTCCAGCAGAATCATCAGCAGGGTTAGCGGTATTATGAAAATCAAGCAAATGATCACTCATATATTGTTCTCCCCCATGATCATGCGCTACAAGATCTGATGGAAAAAGGGATATTTCTGCTCTTAGTTGGGCACCTGCATTTGGCTTGAGTTGAGAAAAAGGAAACACTGTTTCATCAAAAATAACATCCCGTGAAACATAGACTCTCCCGGAAGAGATATCAAGGCATTAAAAACCTTTATGCATCGAACTATAGCCAAGGAACACACACTGTTTAGATCGAAATTGGAGTTTGTGATTGTTGTAGGGACGCAAGTGAGGCCAACAGGCGCACCCAAAGGTTCTAAGAGCAGTATAATCGGTCTTTTGATGGAACAAGCGTTCTAGGGGGGTTTCAAAACGAATTACCCTGCTAGGAACACGGTTTATAAGATATGCTGCAACTAGGAAGGCTTCGTCCCAATATTTCAAGAGCATGGATGCATGAGCAAGAAGAGAAAGACCGATTTCTACTATGTGTCTATGCTTTCTTTCAGCTACTCCATTTTGCTGGTGAGTGTGGGGACATGATACATGATGAGATATTCCTATTTTTAAAAAAAAAGGAATTGAGTTTTTCATATTCACCACCCCAATCGGTTTGCATAGTTATAATATTTTACGATTGAATCTTCGTTCAACTAAGGCTTGAAACTCATGGAATATTTCAAACACATCTAATTTGGACTTGAGAAGATAAACCCAAGTGAATTTACTATAATCATCCACAAAGCTTACATAGTATTTCTTCCTACCAACTGAGGTGCATGCTGGCCCCCAAACATCTGAATAAATAATTTCCAAAGGAAAAACAGAAATACTAGTAGAATTATTATAAGGTAACTGATGACTCTTGGCCATCTGACAAGCATCACACACAGACTCATTACTAGCCTTATCAAGACAAGGCAAATTATTTGTGCTAATGACTTTGGAAACTATGGGACTCGAAGGATGCCCTAGACGACTGTGCCACCTTGCAAAGGATGGCACCACACCATAGACCGCCTTTGATGGAGAAGATGGAAGTGGATAAAGGCCATTGCGTCGCCTCCCCTCAAGAAGAGTTGCTCTCGTGGCCTGATCCTTAATCAAAAAATGTTTCCCATGAAGTTCAACAAAGACAGAATTATCTAGGGCAAGTTTTGATGTAGAGACAAGTTTTTTTTAGCTTGTGGAACATGTAACACGTTTTTAAGTAAAAGATTGCACATAGGGGTTTGAACTGTAGAGTGACCAATGTGCTCAATTTTCATACCTGCTCCATTGGCCGTGTGCACTTGATCATTTCCCTTGTACTTGTCGCAGATGGTCAGCTTATCCAGCTTGCCGGTGATGTGATCTGTTGCTCCCGAGTCCATATACCAATTGGAGTCGACTCCATAGGCATAGGACGCAGCAGCGGCGATGTGGCGTTCATCTGGAACATAGGAATCGTCATACCTATGCCAGCAGTCCGCCACTACATGCCCTCGTTTGTAGCACACCTGACACACAGGGCGTGTACCGGTGCGCTGCTGTCCGGGGGGTCATCCTCCTCGCCCGAAGCCAGAGTTGGCGTTGCCACCCCGATTGTCGCGGCCGCGGTTCCCACCATTGCCGCCGCGGTTGCTTGGATAGCTTCCACGTCCGCGCCCTGCTGCATTGGCTATTGCCAGATTGCTTTCGCGCCTCATGTTTAACCTGTTCTCAAAGTTCAACAATTGTGCATAGGTTTCTGACAAAGTGAGAGGTTCAGACTTTGCCGCTAGGGTAGATACCACAGAATGATAATCATCATCTAATCCATTAAGAATAAATGCAATTAGTTCCTCAGCATCAAGTTGCTTTCCTGACGCTGCAAACTCATCACCGAGGGCCTTCATCTTGGCGAAGAACTCGGAGATCGTCGAGGTTCCCTTCTTGGTGCTGGTGAGGGCGAGTAGCAGGTTGAGAGATCTTGCTCTTGTTTTTAAGTTGAACATGTCCTGGATCATCGTCCATCCTTCTGCCGCCGTGGTCGCCAAGGCCACCTGGGACAGGATATCTCTTGACAGTGATGAGAAAAGGAAACCGAGGACCTGTTGGTCCGCAGCAAACCATTCCTCATGCGCTGGGTTGGCGATCTTGACAGTCGCCTTGCCATCTTCTGTCTTCTGCTCGATCTGAGGAGAGGGAGCGACGGTCTTGCTGTTCAGATGTCCCTCGAGACGTGCCCCGCGAATCGCTGTGAGCACTTGTGCACACCAGATTTGGTGATTCTGCTTGGTAAGCTTTTCAGAAACCTGAAAGCCAAATAGGGGATTTGTTGTGGAGGAGGTGGAGGAAGAGCTCGCCATGGTAGATTGGATCTAGGTTCAAGGCTCTGATACCATGTGGAAGTATGAGATGGAACGCTACCCTTCACGCTAGGGTAGCGGCTGCGTGTTGATTTCTTAGCACTCAAAACGGTGCACATCAATACATATATATGGAATAGATAGGTTCGGCTGATAAGGGCTAACAACCAACTATTATCTTGCTACCTAGATTACCAGCCAATCCTTATCTAAACCAATTTCTGTTACATGAGATAAGGCTAACTCTAACAGTGTAAATAGCTTGTTCTATTCACCTATTTACCATCACCAATAACTGCTACACACTAAGTTTGTTGCCGGCTCCACTACTCTTTGGCGTCTTTATTTCATCATACTAGGTGATATTTGTCCACATAAATGTGTTTAATTTAGCTTATCAGATCATATGGATAAATATGTGGATATTTGTCTCCCCATCCTAAATAATTAACCAAGGTAGGCATCACTTAACTAAACTCTACAGCCCCATTCTATTGGGAAGAATATTACCAAGCAAGAGTCGTGGTGGCAGCATCCTCACTTGTGCATGGAACTTATACCTTCCCTTTTACTGAGGCCGACCAATATAATGGAATATCTCTAATAGAACAAATCAATGAATCATTGGTTACAAGAATCATGTGTAGTTTATGCCTCAGATTATACATTGAGATGGCGCAGTAGATACATATATATACACGGTTTCGTGGTCCGATAAACATTGAATGATTTGGCCAAACCTGCAGGTTAAAGAGTGGGGATGGAGACTGAATCTGATACCTTCATTAAAAGTGACACGGACGACCGACCATATATATCTTGGCATTAATTTCAGGTCAAGTAGTACGTCAATGTAAGCGAGATAAGCATAACTTGACTGGTTTGGGTCGTTATAGTGAGAACCTATCCACACCTGGATTAGGAGTCCTAGATTTGTTTTTTCTTTCTTGGGACTTAGGTTGTGTTTAGATCCAAAGTTTGGATCCAAACTTCAGTCCTTTTCCATCACATCAATCTGTCATACACACACAACTTTTCAGTCACATCATCTCCAATTTTAACCAAAATTCAAACTTTGCGCTGAACTAAACATAGCCCTTAATCGAACTAAGCTATATGAGATGGTTAGCTCTCTAATTTTTTATTTGATGTGTGCTAGGATGTAACAAACAATGGCATGGGTGCAACTATAATGAGCGGGACACCCCAAGATCCTTTTGCTGTCGCTTGGAAGCTACTCCCTCTGTAAAAAAAAATTATCTATTAGACTATTACTACCCTTCAAGAATAAAGAGTAGATACTCTCGTAGGTATGGGAGGTACACAAGGTACCTTCCGAGCGCTGTAAAAAGGACTTAAAACAAATACTTAATTATCACGCTAGTCAGATACTTGAGAAGAATGCTTTGAGTCAAGCAGATCTCTCTCCTTTCCAATACATATAACAACTTTTTAACTAAACTTTAATGATGTTTCCAAAATCTATAGTTTCTATATATAAAGTTACATTTCCATAATATTTTGACAAATCTATCTATCATTTTTATAATATTTAACATATACTTATCAATATTTTCACATTAAAGCACGGGTATCATTTTTTTATTTCATGATAAGTAGTGATGAACTCTAATGTTTCATTTATTTTCTATTTACTCCTAGCTTGATTGTCAAAAAAAAAAGAATACTGAAAATTGCTTAATAATTCATGTAGCGAAGCACGGGAAATCACCTAAATGGAAAAGATGTATGGATAAGTTTAGGACAGTGAGATGCATAAAGCCTTCCCAAATAATTCGCTTAGGAGTCAGTACATAAAGATTTAATTTCATTTGTAGAAAGAAGAAACAAAAGAAAGTGAAAATAGAAACTCCACTTTTGGAGGGGAAGTTGGGGGGAGGGCAGAGGTTCATTTCAACAAAGGTGTGGCAAACATTGTTTCAACCCAATCTAGTATCTGAACCAATACCACATCAAAACTTGTTACTAATATACTCCCTCTGTCCCACTAATTAAGACGCAATCAAACACGGCACATTATTTAAAACTAATATTTGACTTTAATTTCTCAAGTACTACGATGTTTGCAGCAACCAAATCACAATATTGTATACTTATATTATGAATTTGTATATACTCATATTGTGATTTTCCACATCCATCTTCCTACTAGTTACATCAGAATGAAATTAATAGAGGGAAAAGGGGAATAGAGACACCATCGGTGTTCTTGGCAAGCGATGACGAGATGTGACCGCTAGTCCCCCACCAAGCTGTCCACTGCCTAGATTTGGTGGTTAGTTTTCCGATCTCCATGCATGTTGGGAGCTTTGACCCTCCCCGCCTCTGCCCAATGCAGATCTGAGGAGAAGAGAACATCTCCGCCAAGCGCCTACCTCCAGCTAAAATACCAATGGCAATGGCAGGTGATGAGCATGGCAATGAGCCTGATGCTTATCAATACTAATTTACTTATTTTGAGACAGAGAATCGAAGTATCTAAGTTATAGTGAAGTGCACGGGCGGTCTCTATATAAACTTACGCGTGTGCGTCATCTAGATGCTTGATCTCTAAAATATATTTTTAGACTTCTGAACTTGGCTTTGGTAACACACGAATCCAAACAGGCTCCAACCTGATTCGTGCGTTGACATGGCAATGCCACGCTGGTGCCTTCGTATTAGTGGGACTCACATGTGAGTCACATATATAGAAAAAAATTAAAACGTAAAAAAAATAAACACCATTTGTCAAGTAGTATCGTCAAGGAAAATATGTTTTTAATTTATTCTTTTCTATGTGACTGATATGTACATAGGCACCACAGACTAGGTCAGTGCGTGGAGTAGGTTAGGGTCCATTTGAAATTTTATAATACCCAAGATAAGTTTGAGACCTTAAAATATAATTTAAGAGTTTCAAGACCTAGATGACACATCAGCACTAGTTGCCCGCCCGTATACTTTATTTTATAAGTTATAACCCGCTATATGTAATCTGTAACTCAACACGCAAACATATCACACCATCATCGTTTCTTTATACTAATATCTATCGTACATTCATCCACATATGACATATTTCGTAACAAACCGCAGAGCATCATCTAGTCCCTGTATATAAACCCAACCCAAGTGTCGACCTTAAGCCAGCGGGGGTAGAGACAAGCAAGCAAAGGAAAGCAAAGCATGTCTGGATGCCCATCCCTTAACCTCTCCTGCGACAACACTTCCTGCAACCTCTTCTGCTGCCACCCCAAACAACACGAACCACCACCGGCACCCCACGCCGCCGCCACCAAACCGCCGCCGCCGCCGCCACACGATGACCCACCCCTCAAGCCGCCGCCGCAGCAGCAGTTCATAACCGCACAGCCACCGCCGCCAGATGAACCACCGCTCAAGCCGCCGCCCTCGTTCTACCCAGCCGTGCTGCCGCCTGAGCCGCCGCCGCCACGTCGTCCTGCAGCGACGCCGTACAGCAACAGAGAAGGCGTCGACGACGACGACAGCCATCACGTGGCGCCGCCGCCACGCCGGTCGCCCGCAGCTCGTCCTCCTTCTGCGCCGGAGACGCCGCTGCCGTTGCCTTGCTGTGAGAAGCCCCCGCCGCCGCCGCGGCAGCCACCAGCTCATGATCAGTTCGCGGCGGGCGTCCCGAACGGCGGCGGCTACGGGGAGAAGCATCCCGTGGCGGTGGCGGCAAGAGCGGTGCCTGCTCGTCACTACGTGCCACACAAGAACCACGAGGTGGCTGCCCCGCCGTCGCCGTCGCCGCCGCCGCCGGCGGCTCGGTACGACGACAATTGGCAAATCATCGAGAGCAGCCGTTACTGTTAATTACAATTAGTAGGTGGTTTCAGCTGGAAATTAATTAATTATATTTATGCATTTGCTAGTATATGTACTACGCGCATGCAGGTTGTTAAGTTCATCGATCGAGTATGTGTGTGTGTGTTTTTTTTTCTTTAATAAGATTGCGATGTTCGGTGTTATAGTGTTGATTGCCTAGCAAATTATTCGGCATACCATGCATGCTAGTTACTTTTTTTTTACTCTCTAATGCTCTTTTACTTGTTATTTTGGATCATAGCAAATACATCCTTTTATGCTTAGCAAATTTCAGAAAACTGCAACTTTAATGACAAAACTATCAGTTCGATGCAACATTAGCGACATGTTTCAGTTTGCTACAACAATAGCGTGAAAAATCTATCTATCTATCTATTATATACTAAAAGTCCATTAGTCTCCCTACAAACGCTCCTAGGCCGCCATGTGGCGTTCCTACAAACGCTCCTAAATCGCCAATTGCATTTTTCAATCTAACCGTCGATTTTCACTTAAATTGGTGGGCCCATTATTTTACATCATTAGATTAGATCTATTTGAAAAGTCATTGATACACCCTTAATATAACGTATAAGCTTAATACAGGAGAAATTTTTACGAGAAAAAATAACGTATATTCCGATCGGATATAAACCCATACGTACTGCTCGCTTAGAAAAAAAAACAAACATACGAGCAGCTACAAAGCCAAAAAAAAGTACTACACTGTACATTGAAACCGTATACACCAGAAAATCATGTGCATACGAGTGAAATCGTTTATACCGGAAAATTTAAGTACGTATGCACAATGGAAAAAAACAGAAATTTTAGGTACTGTTTATAGGCAGTATCCATGCACAGTGGTTTCTTGATGTGTGAGGCAGAGGCTCTACGGTGGGGCAGCCATTGGTAGAACCGCGAGGCGGGTGTCTACAGTGGTGTCGCCATCGGTAGGACTGCCATGAGAGAATTTAAACATAATTATAACTTAATGTATGTGTGAGTCTTTCCTTCCCGGGTGCACCAGAACTCCTCTCACTGCTAGAAACCGTGTATGCCTAGAGTGCAAGAGGATGTAAAGTTCATGGAGCGGGTACTGCCAATGCGAGGTTATCGAAAAGTTTTGCCGTGACGCATCTCATGTGTTAGGACGAGGCTCATGTGTTGGGTAGTCGCGGAGTGTGGGTAAAGTGTACATCCACTGCAGTGTGAGTAAACCAAATCTATTCGAATAGCCGTGCTCACGGTTATTGAGCATCGGGATATGTATTACACTTGGCTAGTCTCTAAATTCTTAACTTGTGTGGGATGGGTTGTTGCATGATGAATTTTTATGCTGTGGGAGCCACTTCCTGAGAAGGGGGAATGTGGACGTCCTCAGAAAACCATGACGACTCAATGGCGGGAAGCTATCCTTGGGAACACAATGGATGGTGGACAGAACCGTCGTTATTTAAATATGAACACTAGTACTAAAATTTGATCAGTCAATGCTAGATCTTAGGCTTGTGAAAAGAATTACAAAACTAGCTTTACGCAAAAGAACCATAGCCATCCTTTGAATACCCCTATCATGTGCATTATTGCTGTGATGGCTTGTTGAGTACGGTTGGTACTCACCCTTGTAATATACAAACTTAATCAGAGGCCGGAGATGAAGCTTCGGAGAATCCCTACGCGTACTACCAGGAGGGTGATGAAGACGAAGGCGCCCAGTAGGTCTTAGTACGGTCGTTGCCTATGGCAATGGCATGCCGCTGCCTAAATTCCGCTGCCTTACCTATTTCTGCTTTTGGATGTATTCCGGACCGCTCGGTCCAATGATTTAAGACAATGCCTGCGGGCTTATGATGTAATAATTAGCACTAGACTGTCGTGTATGTGCATTTGGAATTTCAGCTATGAACTCGTGTGTACCAGACTACTTGATCCAGGGAAATGGTACTGTTTACACGAATGATTCCTGTTATAAAAACGGGGGTCTACACTCACCCTCCTTTCCGCACTCGCTAGCATCGCCCTCCATCTCCGGCCCTCCCCTCCTCCACAAAACTCTCACTCTCCTCTCAGCCTCTCCCCCTCCTCTCCTTCGATCTGCCCCATCTCAACTTCCTCACCGGCGGCGGCTTCCTCTACCCCGTCTCACCTCCCTCGCCCCCATCTCCTCTCCCTCGGCGTGGCCGCCGGCGGATCTGGCAGTGGTGGCAGCGGCTCCCTCTACCCTCTCTTGCCTCCCTCACGTGCCAGATCCGGCGGCGGTGGCGGCGGTCATGGACGGATCCAACGGCAGCGGCTCCCTCCGCCCTTCTTCGTGTCCCTCCCATGGCAGATCTGGTGGCGCCGGCCGCAGCCGCGAGCGGATCCGGCGGCGGTGGCGTATGCTGAGGGTGGATCCGTGTCACGACCGGAAATAACCCAACGGGCTTTCCTGACGTGCGTGCATTAATCCTTGTCCCAGGAGGCAAGGTACACCAAAAGTTGATACAATTCAGAGTTTAACAAGCGGAAGCGTAAATAGTTAACTTATTACATGGGCAATGAAGGCCCAGCACACACAGAGACAAACGAAAAACAGCGGAAGACTAGGGCGACGACCACAGGCACTTGACGGCAGGCACGAGCTAGACACCGAAGCCTTCATCTTCAAGGAGCTCCTCTTCTGGGCTTGGGAAAAATTGAGCAAGACTGAGTACAACCACCGTACTCAACAAGACACACCCACAAATGCAGAATAAATGCAAGGGAGTACAAGGGAATTATAACATAGAGGGGTTAGGGTTGCAGTAAACAGCATTTAAAGACATTTAGTTGCTCAAGTTATTTTGTAAACACGATCTAGGAACTACACAATGTTATTAATCAAGGCCGTGAACCCACACGAACCTGCCTTAACCCAAGGCCTACGATGATTCAGACCGAACTGGCAACCCGACCCTGGGTCCCAGCTCGTCCCAAGCCAACCCAGGCCAACCATTCCATATTTTAGTTGTTAAGCATGTTTTAAGAATTAAAACACTAACTTGGGTACATTGCTCGGCTTGCCCATAACCGAGGGCTCGGCTATTCGAATAGATTATACTCTGATCAGAGGTGTACATCTTTACCCACAAGACACATCTTCCTCACGTGTAACCACGTGCCACATACCACCACGGTATACGGACGGAAGACGTGACATAGTTTCCAACCCATCCTAGCCTTAGACAAGAGTACCGACCCAATCCCGCCTACGGCCGGAACCCCCGGGACAGGCAGGCGAGACTGAGCCCCTAGCAGCAGGGCACCAACCCTCTGCCATATGACATCTCGACTACCGGGCCGCAGCTCGTGTAGCCTTCATTTGCCCTGGAGAATGTCCATCGACCCCCGACTTCATCCATCTCCAATCCGTGTACTTTTGTTTATGACTAGACTGAGCCACAAACTAAGCCTTACCCACTAGACATGTGGAAGTACGGTAGTGCTTTGCAACAGAGGCCCGAAGACCGGTCCTTATATGGCCGAGGTGCTACCATCAAAACCACGCACCCCGAGCCCAGCCTAAAACCATTTTAGGGGATTTTGAATAGAGGGGGCGGTGTGAAGCCAATTCCACAATAATCCAACAATTCCATAGTGTCCAGGTGATATGAATATTTCCCAAGTCTAAAGTTGTAAAACCTCCTAATGTTACCTAATTAAATTGCGAAGCATCTACCTAGAATTAAACTAGTGGTGTCATGAGTAGAGAGTCCACTAGTTGAGGTTTTGTTTGCCTAGGGTGAACAAGGTAATAATAATAACAATAACAATAATAATATGGTCATAACAAAGGTAAATAGGCATGGCTAAATAAAACAGTGATAACGCGGGAATTTAAATAAAGCGATAATGCAATAATTTAAATCAACATAATTTTATAAACTGGGATTCAATATGATCAAGATGATGTGTCTTGCCTTGCTCGTCTTCCCAAACGTCGGCTTCGACTTCCACGAAGAGCGGATCTTCCGAAGCTGCAGCGTCTACACGACCAACGGAAAAGAAAAGGCTTTTACACTACTAAACTCCACATAACAGCAGAAACAAAGCACAAAAATGGGTTCTTGACTTCTTAAGGAAAAATTAGAGACTTGAACGGTCCAATTCCGAGTTCAAATGGCCAAGATATGGCCATTTGAAGTTTATATGCTCTTTAAATGGATATTTACGAATTTCTTCATTTAAATTTTAATTAAAAATTCCATTTATTGCGTCAGCCGGGAGAGGGGCGCGCGGACCGGGTCCACGGGAAGTGGGGCCCACGCGTCAGCCTCTCGGTCCACGGTGGACCGGGAGCACGCGGCTGGCGGCGGTCGGCGCCGTGGGTCCCACGCGTCAGCCGCACCCGCGGGCGCGGGCGGCTGACGGCCGGGCCCACCTGGCAGCCGCGGGGCGCGCCCGAAGGCGGCCTCGCCGGCACGGCCGACGGGAGCGGCGCGCCCGCGCCCCGATGGTCACCGCCGGCGACCACCGGCGCGGCGGAGCGGCGCCCGAGAGAGCGGAGAGGAGAGGGAAGCGAAAGGGCGGTCCTCGGCTCACCCCGGGACGACGAGGACGGCGGAAACGACGGCCGGAGCGGAGGAAGGCGGCGGCGCGGTTCGGGATGCCGAGGGCGACGGTGCTCCGGCGGTCGGCGGGCGAAGCGGAGCGGCGGACGGGGTCGACGGCGACGCGGCGACGCGGAAGGAGGTGACGCCGAGTCGGGAGGAGGACCGGAGCGATGACGGCGGCGAAACGGAGCTCGGCGGCGACGGCGGAGAGAGAGGAGCACGGCGCGAGCACGAATCCGACGGCGAGAGCGAGCGGCGAGCGGCGGAAACGGAAGAGCGAAGCACGGGGGACGATTTTATAGCGTCGGGAGGGAGGGAGAGCGGCCGGGGAGGAAGGAAACCGGCGCGGCGATCTCGGCTCCATCAATAACGCCGGCGAAGATTGCGGGCGCGATTTCGAACGAATCCGAGGGAGAGAGAGAGGGAAAAGAGGGGGGATCGGGAGAGGGAATCGCGGGGAGTGATTCCCCCCTCTTTAATGCGCGCGGGGACGGCGGGATGCGGCGGAATCCGCGGCGGCGGCGGCGCTAGGGCACGGGCGGGCGGCGGGCGCGGCGCGAGGAGGGAGATGACAGGTGGGTCCCACCCGTCAGCGAGAGTGGCGGGCGGGCCCGCCTGTCAGCGGCGCGCGCGCGCGGGGGAGCCGATGGG